GAGAGAGAGAGAGAGAGAGAGAGAGAGAGAGAGAGAGAGAGAGAGAGAGAACAAAAGCCTGATGGCGACTTCACAGGCGGGTGGACAGCCCGGTGCGGTGGTCGCGGCGCACGGAGGAGGAGGCGATGGCGGGACAGGGCCGACATCCACAACGACCGCTGGTACTGAAGAAATAGCGGCCGGAGGAACAGGCAGCGATGGCGGTGGGTGGGGGACGAACTTGCTTGCCCCTAATCAGCGGAATGGAGATTGGGGTCATGATCCGACCCATGGGCCGCACGGATGGGCGGAAATAGCGGCCACCTTCTTCTTCTTCTTCTTCTTCTTCTTCTTCTTCTCCTTTTTCTTCTGATGTTTCGGTGACGAACAGAGCGGTAATATTCAATATTTCATTTTCTTATTCATTCTTCTTCTTCTTCTTCTTCTTCTTCTTCTTCTTTTTCTTCTTCGTCTTCTTCTCCTTTTTCTTCTGATGTTTCGGTGACGAACAGAGCGGTAATATTCAATATTTCATTTTCTTATTCATTCATCTTCATCTTCTTCTTCTTCTTCTTCTTCTTCTTCTTCTTCTTCTTCTTCTTCCTCATTTTTTGTGTGTTGCTTTTTTTTTCAAGAATTAGGAGTATTTCTCGATTTACGACTATTTGTCGATTTATGGATATCATTTTAAAAGAATTGGGACTATTTCACGATTTATGCATATTATTTTCTTATTCATTCTTCTTCTTCCTCATTTTTTGTGTGTTTGTTTTTTTAAAGAATCAGGACTATTTGTCGATTTATGCATGATATCATTTCTCGATTTATGCATTTTTTTATATTTTTTTTATTTTTTTTTCATCCTTCCGAATTACGACTATTTCGCGGGTGTTGACTGGGCAATGCGGTCCGCGGGAATAGGATTGAGAGCGTGGTGATGCAGCGCAGGGAGGAAGGCGGTCGCGTTGGATGTAGAGAGTTGATAGGGAGGCGCTCGCGTTGGATGATGATGATGACGACAATGATGTTCGTTCTAAACCATTCCAAAGACAAACATCATAAGTATACTTTGTATGCGAAACATCATCCCTAAAAATTGCATCATCATCGTCATCCTAGCCACCTTCATCTTCTACATCTTCTTCATGAAAACCATGTGCGAACAAACAAATAAAGAAAAAAAAAAAAAAAAAAAAAAAAGGAAAA